CCCGGCCCCTCCAGCGGCTTCCAGGCCTTCCAGCAACTTCCAGCAGCTTCCAGGCCTTCCCGCGGCTGCCAGGCCTTCCAGAAGCTTCCAGGGCTTCCAGCGCAGGCCTTTCCTCTCCACCTGACTCCTGGAAGTAGCCCCACCTCATCTGATAATCCCAGGTAAAAATCCCAGAGAGATTAACATCCTCCTGCAAGAATGCAACACCAACAAAAAAGAAATGCTTAGAAAATTAAATAAGTGTAAAAAGAAGAAATGCACACTGGATTCGCCCGCTCCTGCAGCGGCTGCGGCTCCTGCTCAGACACAGCCCTGGCTGCGTGTAGGAAATGTGGGGAAAAGAGGCAACATAAATAATGGGAGAAGCGACACCATTGCGGGGCTGTACGTGCAGCTCTGCTAGTTGCTTGGCAACTGGATGTGGAGTGTCAGCGAAGAGGCTGAGGCCTTTCTGCAAATATTTGGTTGCATATCAGGGTATATTGTCAAAGCGGTTCAAAGTCTTCTAAAATACATCCCTGGTTTTATGTGTAAATCAGTGCAAATAAAGGGATAGGCTCACGCTGTGTCAGAAACTATCACAGAGGGCTAGTATGTTTACACTGGGATGCAGTGTGTTGAAGACTTTATATACCTATATTTTATGCACACATCATCTGGCCTGAAATCCTTATCTGAGAAGATATGCTTTTTCTTAAAAAAAAAAAAAAGGAATTTAACAGCTTAACTTAACTTGGCAGCTTAACAGCTGCCAGGGTCGATCAACACACTTTGTAAATACATAAATGAATACACATTCAGGTATAGGCATAGCAAGCAATTAAAAAGGTAAAAGGAGAAGTGTACGCACATACAGAAACCAGCATGAATACCGTAGTGTAAAATGATTCCATTGGGGAAACAGGTATGAAAGAGATGGAAGAGGTACAGATCAGAGCTAACCAGATTACAGAGGAGATACAGTTTATGCAAGGGAAAAGTGATATTCATCTACTAACCTCTTGGTCACTATTTCTGATAGTGCTCCGAAGAGAACCCATCTTGCCTCACGGTTCTTAAGCAGAGATTCTTAGAGGAATGTGGCCATGCACAGAATCTGCACTGATTGCACGTGTGGGTAAAACATGACAAGTTTGCTCTGTCCAACATAGCTGGATCTTGGGCTTTTTACAACTTTACAGTGTCATTGGGTCCGATCTGAAATGCTAAGAGACAGGATGAATTCGACTGAGCACAGTGTTTATTAATACATCCATGCGGATGGCTGAGACACAGCTGCCTTGTGCATGATCTGCTTGGAATATAAATATAAACAAAGCAGCTTGAGCTTGCTCCTGTCTGCAAAAATTGTATCTAAGGCAGGAAAAGCAGCAAAACAAACTCTGGAACTTCCTAACTGTGAAAGAATTGCCCAGTGTTCTCCAGGTTGCTTCCATAGCAACCTCAGGGAAATTTTAACCTGTGGAGCTGTTGCTGCAGCCTGTTGGTTTGAGGGGATGGATGTGTCAGGGTTGGTTCTTGAGCTAAGGACAGAAGAATTCAAACTAAACGCACTGAGTTCCTGGCAGCAAGCTCATGTTCTAGCCTAACTCAAGTCAGGCTTCATTGACATAACAACACAGGCAAATACCATCAAAATGTAAGAAGCCAGTATTTTCTGACACAACACAGCTTACACTTCACAGTTAAAATAACCCAGATCTTCCAAAGACATCCCATGTGTTAGAATACATCTTAATGTTATGCGTTGAGGTCATCACTGGCCTCTCTAAATTAGGGACCCTCCTCACTCTTTGCAGATCTGATTCTTTTCCTCATAAATTAGGGCCTCAGCTTCATAAATTAGTTTTTCCCTAGAAGGCTGGTAGCAAGCTGCCAAATCACCTGCTTCTCACCAGGTTTAGGTATTCAACAGATGAAAGAAAGTGTTTCTGTTGTCATATTTGCAATTCATTTTGACAGTAGATTTTTAAACAAACTGATTAGGTACCTTTATTGTTTTATGCTTGACAGCACACACAGTTTTGCTCCGTGTCATTGTTGCATGACATTCCATTTGGCACAGAGTTTATTTTTAGCCAGAGTCTATCAAAGTATTTTTCGGTAGGACTGTCACTGCTCCTGAACAAGGAATCATATTACTGCAAGAACTTTGCTGAAACAAAGAAGATACATTGAACAAATGGGAAATTACAAATCCAGACCAACCCAAACTTGCACGGGTAATTAATGTTCCTTTTTTTACATACGATATACCATGCATCTGTCAACAAGCAACAAATGATGTCTTAGCAAATAACTCATTGCTAACTTGCTCTATAGTTCAAGGATAAGGTATTTTATTGTTCTTGGTTTACATGAAGAATGGCTTAACCCAAATCGAATGCAGAGTCTTGTAGAAGTAGACAAAACACTTATAAATTAAATTTTGTGGGACTATCACATAAGACATACTAACTTATTTCATCAGTTGATTTAAATCACATTTCATTAGAAAATTCTTAAAACTAGATCTCTTCTATGCTTTGCGTCTGTGCTGATAGGATTTAGAAAATAAGAACTAACAAAGGCAATTATTGTTCAAGTTTTTTGTTATTCGAATTAAAATATTTCTGGTGAAGTTTTGTGTGTATTGTCTGCCTGCAAGATCAGCATATGTGTATCTAATGGTTGCATCGAGAACTGTTTAATAGCTTTAATATGATCTTAACTAAACATTCATACCTTAGCAGAAAAATACTGCATTGAGATTGAGGATAATTGGATGTTTAAAAATCAGATCTGTAGTTCCTGGTTACTGAGACATTTTGATTTGAGTTCTTTTTTTTATGTTTTGGAGTGTATTACCCACCAGTGTTTTTTTTTTGTTTTTGTTAGATGAATGGAAGAAGAAAGTTAGTGAATCATACGCTATAATCATAGAGCGATTAGAAGATGACCTGCAGATCAAAGAAAAGGAACTGGCCGAACTGAAGCATGTTTTCAGGTGAAGTATGCTTGAAACCTTCCTATGAATGTATTTTAAATGCGTATTTGCTGTTACGCGGTATTTTGGGTTTCAGGTGTTTTTTGCCGAGGGGGTTTCACATGCCTGGAATGCCTGCTCTTCAAGGTCTATTTTTGGGAATGTCCTTAGAGTTCTGGGCCAGAGTCCCACAGCACAGTACCATAATTAGTGGCTGTTAATTATCAGTGCCAACATTTTATATGAAATGTATGTAGTTTTGGAAGTGGATTAGCTTTAATGGGATGTCTGATTTGGTGTGTACTTTCCATTTGTGCTAGCCTTTTCTTTACATGGGGATATTGCTGAGGTGGCAAGGTTTAGGCAAACAGACCAGCAGAGGAGCTTCCGACAGTGACTTTCAAATTCATAATTGCTGTCGCTTTCTCAGGACAGCTCGTCCTAAAATCCACATTCCCTGAACCAGATAGTATGCTCACATGTTCCTTATCTGAAAACCTCAAATACAGAAAACACACAGCTTAGTGACTTGAGTAAGTTAATTTAAACAAATGATCAAGTAAATATTTTCAGACATAAAATGTACTTCAAAAAATGGATTATAGTCAGAAATAAATCACAAGCTCCCATTTTTTTTATTTTCAGGTAGCATAATTTATTTATTTAGCTAACAGGTTTGAACCTGTTAGCTGAATATCATCCTCAAGCAAAATTCTGCCATACGCTGGCCACTTTGTCTCTGATCCAGTAAGGTACTTCAGCACCTGCCTAGCTTTTAACCCTATTTAGAAGCAAAGTAATTATCTGAACAAACTAGGGCAAGTGTGTTTATCACCTTAAGATGAGCAAGACCATTGAGGTATATGGTGAAGTGTTTAATTCCTAAATTAGTCCCTAAAAAAAGTAATGGGAAATGGGAATAACTCATTAATTCATTACTGTCAACCTAGAGAACAAAGGTAAAGACAGGCTTCTGGCTTTTAAAGGAGAGCAGTACTAACGTCGTTTGGAGCTGTAAGCCTGTTAAGTATGTTTAATAGTGCTGCTCTATCAGGATGGATTTATATATATACAAATGAAAGTGTTCTGCTAAACAGGAATGTCTAATCTCAGCTGTACGGAAAGGAGAAAACAGACTTCTATTGGCAGGCTGCAGTCTGCAATCTTCAAAAGAAATACTGTAAATTTCTGCATTTCACTGAGTTTCAAAAATGTAACTACCTAGAAAGCTTGGAGGAGCAGTAATAAGTCAGTTTGTACCAAAAGAAAACAGAGACTTTGCTACAAAAGCTGAAGTGTTTAGGCGGGATAATTATTTACCTATCCGTAACTCTGTTTTCCGAGCAAAGTTACAGTACCTGTTTAGGTAGGACATTATAAGTGAGGATGGGTCGGCTCTAGCTGCACACACATCTTTGGCTTCCCTTAATATGGTGGTTGTTTAGCACGTGAAATAAAGATGTGCAGTTACATTCCCTGCAGTCTTACACAAAGACACTGCTCATGTCTATTTGTAACTCTGGGGGCATCTTTAGTTTATTATCCATTCTCTTTATTGCCAACATTTTTAGCTTTATTTTATTGATGAATTTGTTTTTGGAGCTTGACATGCATCATGGAGAAGAAGAGCAGAACTTAATGAATCTGAAACTCTAAGGACTGTAACACTTTTATGTATGTTCTCTGTGTTCTGCTAAATAAGAGTACCAAATACAAATGCTGAATGTTATTTTTAATGATTCAGAACTGGTATTCATCCTATTTAAAGAGAATATTATTAGAAATGCATTAATAATAATTACTTCCCTTTAATTATTCACTTCATCCTTCTGTGCCCTAGAAAGCATCATAAAATCATTAAGCTATATAAAAATATAACAGAGTGTATCAAAAATGTGGAAGAAAACTAAACATTAAATTGAGCTTCATATTGTCAGTGTCAAAGTGCATAAGTGGCATTTAGTTGTCAGAGAGTTTTATGTACAAACATGCCTCACCTTGGAAGAATATGATTAAAAACTATAATGCTTTAATTGCCCATATCAAAACCAGAAATATTTCCCTAGAAGTTAATGGGAAGTCAAAATGAGCATCTATAAACAGCTTTAAAGTTCTATAATATACCACCTTCCAGTGCAGTAAGCCAAGGCCGAAAACCCGAGCGGTGAAATGAGCCTCGTTCCCTGCGCACTGTGGGTTCCGCGCTCCCTCCGACGCGAACAGCAGCCGTCACTGATGCATCTGTGCGGGACAGATGTTCTCCGAGATGCCTTCGGCTCTGGGGCTTCTCCTCTTCCCTCTCAGCTGACACTCAGGCCTTCGTAGGACTCAGTATCCCATTAGAGCTGCAAATCCTGAACCAGAAGCGCAGTGTTGGGAAAGGCCGCTCCATTCACTGGACCCTTGGCTCGTGCCAGGTTCCTTCAGGTTACGGCCCCTGCCGTGTCCTCGGCGTGCCGAGGCGCCCGGGCTCGCTCCTAGGCAGTGCAGCACGCAGGCTGGGTCCTGCACACTCCTCCAGCTGTGCTGCTCCCTCTCCACGTTCCCAAGCACGGACACGGCTCTCCTGGTGGCTCCTGCCTGGGAAGCAGTCCACGTGAAGGCCTGGATGTCCCAGGGCAGGATGCAGGGGCCAGGAGGAGAAAATCAGGTCTTAAATGCTGATAATATACGCACAGTAGTAATTTGGGGATTCAGGAACCTCCATTCAGTACCAGAATCATAATATTAAAGTTTGAGAAAGCAGAGACACATCTATAAAATGCAAAGAGGTAAGAAAGACCAGAAGTGTATGTGCTTCCTTAGTGTTCCCATATACATGTTTCAGTGAAATGATCATATACACCCTTCCTGTGATCTCATAGCATAACCATAAACTTGATTTCTGAAACTTTTTTTCTGTAACTTTTTTTCTGGGTATTCTTTCATCAGCTTAGTCTTTTTTTTTTTTCCCTAATTTAGCTGATTTTGGCATGTATATACCGTGACTGAATAGCAAGATTATCCAGGTGAGAATGTGAGTTAGGCTCTGTTTTAATTTACTGAAAAATACATCTGGATTAATCCAGAGTGCTAGTAAAATATTTCTAGATTTACAGGGGGCAAACAGGAGCCTGAATTTAGTCCTCTATCTCCAAAAAAAGTAACACTGAGATTTCTCTTTTAAAATTTTTCCAAATGAATGAAAATACACCGAAAAATGAAAGCTGTAATCATCTGTAAAATCTCTTTTTTTTCAGCTCTGATGAAGCCTTCTGCCAAGTCAATTTAAATTACCGCACAGAAAATGGGCTCTCTCTTCTTCATTTATGTTGCGTATATGGGGGTAAGTATTTGAAATCTGATGTTCTCTAAACCTGTTATTTACATGGTTAGTGATTTATTCTGTCTAATAGCTGACAGGAACATTATATTTTTAATCCATTTCCTTCTTCACGTGGTACTTGTTGACAGCTGGATAAGCATCTGTAGGCATTTCTCGAAACTCTGTTGCCAACGTGGCTGAATCCAGTTAACACTGAACTCCACTCTAACTGATTCTTTCATCCAGGAAAACTTTTGATAGATAATGCAAATTGTTTCAATTGCATCTAGTTCAACTAATATTCAGTTAATTCAAAATTCCATGCTACATGTATGTATTAATATATGCTAATCGTATATGTTAATCATGCTCATTCTATAGCATTTCTCTACTTTTCTATATTTTGTACATGGTATTGACTCCAAGATAGGGAGCAAGTTTTAACAAATTCTTGCCATACAGAAAACATATGTTTTTCTAATATAATGAAAATGTCTACATTCCATTTAATGGTGCTTTAAAGAAGAGTAAGTAAAATGCACTAGTGAAAAATATCATCTGCTAAGGTTATTGCAGATAGCAATCCCAGTATCCAGGAAAAAAGTGTAAAACCACGCGAGTGATTTTCCCAGCTGGTGGAATGTTTCCTGCGGCGTGCGCTGCCGCTGTCACCCCCAGACAGGGTGTCATTAGTGCACGCACACTGCAGGAATCAATAGAAACCGGCTGAGAGCAGCAGAGTGTTTTACCCTGTGGCTGCAGCTCTGCAGAAGGCTTAAGGATAATTTGCAAAAATGTCTTTCTAATTATAGTCCAGCTCCTACAAACAGGGGAAACCTGATCCTACACTGTTGAAAATCAGTTGGATCTTTACCTGAATTAGAGAGTGCAGCATCACAGATCGTATCGGAGCATGACATCAGTGGTTGGCAGCATTAGAGCAATTGGTGGGATTGCTGAGAGGAAGTTTAGGAAAACATATGTGAATTAATTGTGCGCTATGTGTGAACACTTCATGGAGGGAGGAAGGTATTAGCCCCACTATTGTACTTGGTGGCTGTCCCAAGTGTTCAGAAGGCAGCCACGGTTTTGGAGGTGATCAGAGTGCATCAGACAGGTAGCAAAGCTGCTTGTCCATGCTGAGATGCATTCCTTTCCCAAGGAAGCACCATTCCTGTGATAAAGTGCAGAGGGGAGAGCAGAGCTTCAGCTCTCCAAAGGACAAAGGACTTAGATAAGCGTCTGAGGAAACAGAGATTGTTACATCTTCCTCTAGTGCGGGGAGTTCTTTGCAAATCATTTCAGAGGTTAAAAAAGGAGATTTTTTTCTTTACGAGTTCAACCATCTCTAACAAATCATTCCTACTGAGGTGTGAACAAACGGTGAATAAATACATGACCAAATGTACCCTCCCAGTGACTAAGGAGACAGTGTCTAATGCTTGCTGACCTAGGATGCAGGTCCTGTTCTGAGGATGTTTGGGTTGTCCTTATGACTGCCTCAGCTCAGCAGGTTGGTTACTCGTTTGTCCTTGTTTTCAAGCTCACGTGAAGGCTTCCTCACACGAGCCTTGCAGTTTTAAATCTCTAATGCAGGAAGTTAACAAGGAAAGGCAGTCAGTGTGTTCTGAATCATGTAATTGAGGATGGAAGAGCTGCAACCTGATCTTAGCTGCAAGAAGCCCTCATGTCTGCGGTTACTTTCCAAATGCTTAGCTCTTATGGGAAGCTCTTTTCTCATTTACCTCATTTACCTGTCCTTTTCTGTAAATGACTTTGATACACAATTTTTATTTTAAAGGTAACAAATCACATATCAGAACTCTTATGCTAAAAGGACTGCGCCCATCCAGGTTAACCAGGAATGGATTCACAGCTCTCCACTTGGCAGCTTATAAGGTAAATAATATAAATTTAATTCAATATGAATTAAACTGATGAAAAGAAATCAGAACTCAGGAGTTTTAGCAATCACACTGCACAGAAAATGCTCTATAAAGACCCCATGCACAGGAAATCAGCATGTGCTTTTGTACTGCCATCCATGAAGACATGATGTGGCTATTCAAATATTGATTAAATCATGTGATGCAGCTCAAGATAGAGGAGTACTCTTTTTATTATTATAGCTATTTATAGAAACAATCTCAAAGGACTGTATTGCTCTTGTTTTGGCCTTTTTTTCTTCCTCAAGTTTTACACTCAGCTGCAATATTCATTTTCTTCGCTGTTTTTGTTTGTTAATACCCAGCCAGTATCCAGGATACGGTGCCATATAACGGCCTGAATTTGTCCCGCAGCGCTCGTGGTGCTGACACTGCCCGGTCGCCAGCTCGGAGCTGGTGCGGGGTCAGCGTGGACAGAAGGCTGGTATACTGAGAGAAGTGATAGAAATACTTAAATACTTCTGTGCATGACAGCAAAGAAGTAAAATAATAGGAAAAAAATGCTCATGGTTCAAAATTTACCTTACATCCTGGGTATTTATCTGGGGAAACCCCAGTGTCATTGTCTGTTTTCGACAGTATATTTGTTTTGACATTTAAACAGTTTGTATGAGCACTTAATAATGATTCAGAGACTGAGTCATCTTCAAAGATATAAAATCAGGTAGAGTGACCATTTTAGAAAGTACAGACTTCGGTATAGCTAGAGAAGCCTCTGGTGCCCACATGAAGCTTCCACTTTGCTCCTGCGATGCGATGGAGCTTTGTGGCTCTGTTTGCCCCCTCCCTGCAGGTGTTAGAGCTGTGACCCCCCAGTAACATGGTTTATGCCCGTGCCTTTCAGGACAACGCAGAGCTCCTGACAGCGCTGCTGCACGGCGGAGCTGACATCCAGCAGGTCGGCTACGGAGCGCTCACAGCCCTTCACATTGCTACGATAGCGGGTCACCATGAGGTGGGCTTCTCTTTCTCCATTTAGAAAATGCTGTGAGTGCTGATGTTCATCACGTTGTTTTGTTTTAAATTGATACTAATCAAAACTCAGTACTGGTTTAGCATAGCTAAACTTTATTTACTGTGTTCTATACTTTTGTATGGAGAAAACCATATCTGTCCATATGTTTCTACATATGGACGTGTATAGAGGGTCTAGATCTGTTTGCCCATATCTTTATATAATTATCTTTAAAGTCTTGGTAATCAACAACATTGCTCTCTGAATGTCAGAAGTGCTAACTAACAGATACACAATGGGACACAGTCACCCACACGTGTCAGGACACTTCTCTGGGTCTGCATATGTCGAGAGGCTTCTGAATACGGTCTTGTCTGAGTGTGAAGGAGCCCCATTCATTTTATTCCATCTTATAGATGTCAGGTGTCAGCTGAGCAGCTCTGTGGTTTTTACTTCGAGAGGGGACAGAGGTTCTTAGTTTAGAGCCGTGTGACAATCCATATTAGTGCTAAGAAAGCTACTGCCAGGGCAAGTCATTTGCACTCTCAAATGTCCATACTGGTAAGTGTTGTGTGCATTGGAGACTCCCATCTCCATTTTTTTCCCTAAAAATTCTTTCTCCTCCTAGGGAGTGGAGGAAGGGAGTGATGAGATTCCAAAGGCTGCTGTAATCCTTTTCCAAACGTGCTGTTAGTTATGAATCTGTTTTTCTAGGATTTAGCACCTCCGTTCCATCATTCACACATCATCTCATTTCTGTCACCCTGGCAACAGCTCACTCCGTGTATTTTTTTTTTAATCTCTTCAAGTATTTAATACTGGTGCAAAATTACCTTGATAATGAAGGGTTTAGAGCTGTAAACACTCGTGAGTACAGGTACTTCTCTTTTTAGCTCCTTTGGGCCCATTAGGCAATAAAGATTTTGTTCTCTGCACGGGTAAAAGCTTTGACTTATGCAGAAAGCTAAAGTAATTTATCAAGACAGAAACATTAGATTCCTTTAAGGAGAGATAATTGTCAAGGAATGCAAGAATAAATAAGTAGAAGGAAGGAAATACAGATGATATTAATAATTGCATTCAAGCCATGAATTCATTTCTGCGTTTTACATAGACTTATAAATTCAAATATAAGAGTTTGTCTGCGTGACTGCAACGAAATGCCTGTGCAACTCTGGACAGAGGAGAGGAAACCATTAGACTCCCAGGCTACAGAGGCCACCGAGCTCGGTGATGGGAACAGAGTTCTACAGTGTGCCCTATTTTCAGTCACCCAGCACATGCCCGCACGCACGTGCTTGCAGACAGACTCATACCATTTATTACACATGAAGATAGAAAATTCTATATAGCAATGTACTGAAAGAGAGGAGAAAAAAATACTTTAAAATAATCAGTTTTGTTGGGGAAATGATCACTCCTTAGAAACTTTCTGTGTTACCTTAAGGAAACCTGTCAACATTTAAGTACTTGGACTGAAAAGGTAGGAGGCAGTGGCTGATGTTCAGCTGAACAAAAATGGTAGTTCTTGGCTTACAGCAGTTGAGTTTTCCTGTCTCTTTCTTAGTGTTTGTGTTTAGTCTGAGGTGCTTATCAGATCTTTGGGTTGGTGACAATGTGACAGACTTTCTATTTTATTTGGGCTCTCAAAGATCCAGGTAGATCATGCAGGTCAGTATTTTAACTGCTAATTAAAATTAATTACGTATTTGAACTATTTTGAAACCTCTGAAAATTGCGTCGGGTGCCTTTTGGAACTTTTTGCACTTACTACCTTCGGGAATTTCCCCTTACGTGCTAACTGCCAGTGTAGATAGACAGTAAATCAGGGGCCTCGGTGTCTCGGTAGCTGGTGGAGATGATGCAGTGCCGCCGTCTGCAGCGCGGCCGCCGCGGGGAGGTGAGAGCTGCCCTCCGCAAGGCCGGGGCTGTGGAGCCTGCCCTCCGGCACCATCGCAGTGTGGGTCGGAACCGGTACCCGCTAGGCCTTCTGCCAAAGGCTGCCAAATGGGCTGGCGAGAGGGAAGCGCCGAGGGGCAGTGGGAAAGGGATTTTGGCCCCAGTTGGTGCAAGGAGCACGGGCGGGCGCTGGGAGCCGTGCGATGGGGAGAGCTGGTGTCGGTGCTGGTGGAGGAGCAGGCGCCTCACCGGGGCCTTGGCGGCCGCGCGGCGTGAGCTGCACCAAGGCCAAAGCCGTTTCCAGGTGGCCACCCCAAGGACTCCATTGAAAAGCTGGCAGTCTGCAGTGCTGAAGGCAGCAGCTCCGGCAGTGGCGAGGGGACAAGCCAGCTCCAGCTCCTGCGGGGAGGAGGCACCTTAGCAGAGCGGGCTGCTCACCCGTGTCTTGGCTCTGCAGGGGAAGGACCAGGCCGGCAGGGTCAGAGCACAGGCCGGGCCGAGGGGCAGCGCTGCGTCCCGCAGCCCACTCCCTTACTCCCTTCATGCACAGCCAGTTCTTACTCCCTCAAACAAACCCTTCCTTAGGTATCTTGGCACTGAGAAAGCAGATAAGAAAGCGCTGGGTCTGATTGTGCTGTTCAGGGATTGTCATGGAGACGTTAAAAGGAATCTCAGCTCTTTATGATCTCTGTATCTTTTATGGAGTATGTAATGGTTTCTGTGCAGACTATGTATGTTTTGCTGATGGTCTTCTGTAGGAAATTGCATTTTACCTGGAGGAGGCATCATATTGGTAACAAAATTGCATATGCTCATTCATGGAGATACAAATTATTACTATAGCATGTGATTCACATAACAGGTCTGTTAAAAATACTGTTTATATGAGTTAATATCTTCTAATTTGTAGTAGAGGGTTCCTCTTTATACCTGATACTTGTTAATTTAGTTTGTTTTTTGGAATAATTTGCTTGTTAGAAAGAGGAGCTATTCAGAACAAGCGCGCTGGCGCTTGTCTTGCAGGGACATCTGCAGTGCGACGCTCCGTGTCTGGCCTCGGCCAGCCCGGCTGGAGCGGCTTGGTGGAGGTTAAGGGCCACAGCGGGTTAAGCTGCCCGGTGAAGAGCTAGAGCTGCCCGTGTCTCTGCCTGAGGCAGCACCTGGCCCCAGTGAGCAGCTCAGCGCTGAGTTCTAGTGCTGCCGTGCCCAAGAAACGGTGTTTAGGTGAGCCTCGTGTTCCATAGTAAAGGTGTGTTGGCAAATTTATCAGTAAATAGTCTTTGCACTCTAATATAAGTAACGTTTATTAATGATGATATGGGAGAAGCTACCTGTGCCATGCCAGATTGTCTCTGCAGAACTGGGAGAGTGTCGTTTATCTGTGGAGCCCCTGCGCTGAGTAGCTGTCTGCGCTGCTGCGGCCGATGCATCACCCAGCAATGCGCACGTTACGGAGGGAAGCAAGCGTGCTTTTAGTTGTGATTTGGGACTTAGTTCTGTTAAAAGAAATTCAACCAGCACCCGCGTGGCTCTGTAGTGCCTCTGTACTGCGGCGCTCGCGAGGAAGCCCCTTGCAGAAGGAGCTTGCTGCGTGCACGAGCTCGTCCTTCTGGGAGCTCTTGTGGTGAGAACTGGCCGTAAGCGAGCAGAGCAAAGGCAGGGTAGTCACCTGTAAGGAAGTATCATTTCAAGTATTTAAAGAGAGCAATTGTGTTTTCAGCTGTAAAGCAAGTGCTGTGTCACGTCAGGGGTGGCTTTCTGAGTACTCTTTCTGCTTCTGAAAGACAAATCCGAAAGCAAAACCTATTTTCCTGATTCGGTGGCTAAGCAGAGGTAGGTGAGGCAAACGCTTTCAGAGGCGATGCGCGCTGGTGCGTGTAGGGCACACACACGGGTGCGTGCAGGGCACAGCGCCCAGGGCCCCGCGGAGCGGGCTGCGTGTGTTAAGCCCGGTTCCCAACCCGCGAGCGAGAGAGGAGCAGAGAGGCCCATAACTGCAGGACGCAGCTTTATTACCAGCTCGCTGGGGTCCCGGCACAGCTCAAAGCGGGAATCCTGCCCGAGGACCCGCCCTGCCGCGCAGGGTTTATATACCAGCCGGGGGTGGGCGGGCACACAAAACTGGGTATTTCCTTTTAAGGTCCGGCCGCTCCGGGGTCTCTCCTGATTGGCCGTACCGAGTGCCGCTCCTCGAAATCTTCCCGCGCCCGGCGGCGGCTCCGCCCCCAGCA